CCTTGCTCTCTTATTTTTCCTTTCTAAAACCTTCTGTATCATTAAAATACTACTAATGCAGAGTAGGCTTCTCTGGCTAATTTTAAAATTACTGCTAATTAATTAAGTGCATAAAAGAGTCCAGTGCAGGCTGAGTTCCTGGGTCTTTGCTCAGCCTTCCAGGTTCTTGGGCAGGTTTTGTAGCCCAGAGCTTTTGCACTCAAGTTGCTCATAGTCTCTGATGAAACGGAAACCCAGGTTGCTGTGACTTTAGATGGACTGACTGTGTGTGCTGGTTTGAATTACTTTCCCACTCTTATTTTCGTGAATCCTCTTTACCTTTGGGTTCTATCTTTCTTTCAGCTCCCTTCTATTTCTGTAGTCTTTGCTGACCTGCTTGTGGTCAAATTTTAAGCTTTTAAAATTCTGTTCTCCTTCTACAAGTTTTTGGCAATGTACTTTTGAGATGTTTTATGGAGGACACAATTCATATTAGTCTCTTTTAGTATTTTGGAATCTTCTTTGAGGCTGCACTGTCAGGTCCTTCCACTGCTCTGGTGGGGGTTCAGCTCACCTGTATGTTCCTGCCCACTCTTCTTGAATGAACTCCTCCATTTTATGTCTTCAACTGCTTTTTCTGTGCCAAAGGAGTTACAGCCCTTTACATTCTTGACTTGCAGTCAGTTGTTTATAATCTCACTTTCAAACTGTATGCATTTTCTGTCTCATGAGGATGAGACTTTGGGGAATGACACATGCCCAGCATATGTACATAGTTCTGGTAAAAAACAGCTTCATATTAAAGACTTGTTTATTTTTCCAAATTTAATTTTCTGACAGATAGGACCTATGTTAAATATAATTTTAAATGAGTCCTTGACAATTCACTGTCTTGGAATAAAATCCTACCACAAATCACACATGCATATTAAACATTGCTTAGTGATGCTTTCAGCCTTGTGGCTTTCAGTAAAATCTCAGGTGTATTTTTCCATAACATTGGGAACCAAGTTTTACCTCGTGAAGGCATAACAGCAATCTTAGACCTAAACACAATTTTTTAAAGCTTATATGAGCATTCTTAATAAATGTTAGATGCTTTAAACTATATTTTGCAACTTGGACATATTATGATTACATCTTTTATGTGTCTTATTTATATTCCTTATTGTCTCCTTAGCTGTAAAGTCAATGCTGTGTCACTCAGTACTGCAGTGAGGAGGACAGATAATACTAGTGTATAGTTAAGAAGTATGTGTGGGTTTGTCCTAGGAATAAGTGCAGGTTCTTCCTGTAAATTCATGTAAGTCCCTCCAGAATTTCCTTAAAATCCTATGTGATATAATGGCAGAAGAAGAAAAAAAATGTTTTTCCTTAAGAGAAATATAAGAGAATATATATATAAGAGAATTCTGCAAAATTATACCAATGGAGATGCAAGTTTCCATTTCTTTATTTTTTTTTATTCCCCTAAAAATAGAATACTACTTGACTTTAGAATACTTCTAAAATAGTATTGAAGCAAGAACACAGCATACTTCAAGAAAATGTTTCCTGACAGGTCATCTTCTCAGGGGCAGGTTGCATTTTTAAATCCTGCTTGTCTGTAAATCTCAGTTAAAAAAAATATGTTCTGAAATCTTGCTATTGTAAGAACCAGTTGTTGTTTACTCCCTCAAAGTTGCTGGAGCTTATTTCTGTAATGAAAGTGATGTGCACCATTTGCATTAGTTTATCTAGCACTTTTATCCCATTTAATTTCTGTGGGACTGTAAAAAGCAAAGACAAAATCCGTGAAAGGCTGATGATAAGCTTGGTTAGTCATTTAAAGAGTCTGGCTTTAGCTGTACCAGGCTAGATCCACAAAAAGGGCAATTTAATTTCAGAACTGTTGTTACCTGCAAATCCTAGATATTCAGAAGCCTTGCTCAGCTGCTGCTTGATCTTGGAGATATCTGGTCTTTTCTGTTTAATCTCGTACACCTGAAATTGTTCTTCCTCCTAAGCTGAAATGCACTATAATGAAGCACTGGGGTTTTTTTGTCTGATAGCTTGGGAGCACCATTCATCTGACATGGGCTTAAATGAGGGAGTTGGCTAGAGCAGATAGGAATCCATGGTGTTAGGAGAGGGCATGGTTGGCCAGCCTGCAGGCTGGGCATCTGCAAGGCAGTGAGAAAGGTTCCCATCTGTGTAATACCAACCTTTTTGTGGTCTTTGAAGTGGTGGTCCTGAGTTCTGGTACTTTGAGAGAGGGTAGAAACTTGTCAAATTTAGGGACACTTTCCCAGAACTTGATCTAAGTTGAGACTGTTTTCTCCAGATTTGCTTTAATTCTAACATTTTTCCAGCTGTATCATGAAGAGGGAATTATGTTCTTTGCTTGTGCATAATCTATGAGACAGGAAAACACAATTCCTTTCATCTTAATGATAACATCTTGTGTTCTTTACATGCTATGGTAGATTTTTTTCTGGTTGTATGAACATACCAGGAATGGTACTGTTTATATTAACGTGGGAATCAGTTCTGACAACACACAAAACCAAAATTAATGTCATTACTCAAGTCAGGGAGTATTTTTATTTTTTTACCTGTTTTTACTGATTCAAGGAATCAGTTTTTTTCCTGAAAGGGCAGAGAAATATTTCTCTCCCAAGCCATTGAAGGTACAGTCTGTCAGTACTGGGTTCAAGTGCCCTGAGTAGCTGTTTTCTTTGACACATCTCAGAGACAGTGAGCAAACCTACTGATTCTTTGAAATAATAGCAGGGACTTTCCCAAACCTGGTAGTTTTCTGCTGTAGAGAGAGGATATTCTACTCATTTAAAGTTTACAAGTGTCCAGGGCCATAAGGGGATCCTTCTAATGAAAAGCCAGCGTAGCTTGTGTCTTTCAGTGAGTGTGCTGTTATAACTCAAATTAAAACCTTGTATTTAAGTATTACATAATGTTAATTCCTGATATTGTAGCAAGTGCCACAGTACACATTACCAGTAATCCCTATGCAGAAAGCAAAAGATTTTCAGTGAGAGCAAGAACAGGAACAAAGTGACTCAGCAGCCCAGTGGCAATGCCAGCAGCCACCAAGCTGCCACCTCTGTGTGTCCCTGCTGCCAGGTCACCTGGAGCAGGCATCACCCTGGCAAACAACACCTGGCTGTGCTTTTGTACAACCAAGGCTCAATTTCAACCAGTGAGGCTTTTAAAATCTATAAAGGAAATAAAATCTTTGCCTGTGGCTAGAGCAGACCATGTTTCTTCTGCGAGGAGAGGAGGAGGTATGTGCTTTAGAGTAACAGGGTATTAATTATACTTTATTCTAAATCCTATCTAATGAAAAATAATAGTGAATTTTTACCTTATCTTTGCCAAGACTTGTAGTAGGAAATCAGTTATCAAAACAAGGCAATAGTCAATCTGCCGATTTAGAAAAGGAATTTGAAATCTAACAAAGGCCAGTTAATGTGATTAAGGTCAAACAGAGTAAAGGTCATTAGTCCTTCCCACAATTAATGTGCTGAAGGAAGAAATTAAAAATGTGGTTTGCAGTTGCTTTTAAGTAGCTTAAGGTGCTTGCTCCAAAAGGTTACTGAATTTCTATCTTGGGTGCTACCAAAATGGTTCCTTTAGCATGGTTCTTGTACTGCTGATGAAGGTTCATCTGGGCTGTCAGTCTAAGGGCATCCCTGTGGGAAAGCCCCTTCCCTTGGGAGTGTGATTTGCCTTTCCTTGAGGTTACCTGCCATTCAAATTACAGAGAAGCTTGGCTAAAAACTCCATTTATTTTATTTTTCTTCCATTCACCTAGTGAGCATTTGGTCTTATCTTCCTTCTGCACATTTTCTTACTGTTCATATGCAAGAGTAATTACTCAGCTGGTTAATTAATGATGATGCTTGTGTTACTGGGAAATCTTTGTGACTTAAAAATAGAAATCAAATTGCATGTTAATTCCCTCTAGTGACAGGTAACGAATATAACAGTTAAACTTTAGTCATAGGTGGAAGCAACACAGTTGCTAAGTTGCTAAACTCCCTGGTACCTGGGTAAGATGGAAAAGTGATGTCAAACACCTCCCTAATTCAGTGCTTTAAGGAAAATTAAACCATTTTGTTTCTTCCTTAGTCAGCCAGGAGAAGTGTTGTTCAGCCCAAGTTCTTTTCTTCTCTCCTGTCACTATCTTTTTTAAGCCTTATTTCATTAAGAAGAACTTTATTTGTTTTATTTTGTGAATAGTATCTAGGTTATTTATTTACATTTTAATTGCATATTACTTGAAAATAACTAATTAGCAGATGTGTATAAAACAATTCAGAATTTTATAAGTAATGTTTTACCAGTGACAAAAATAATATACTTAGAGTTCTGTAAGCATGCCACTGTATTTCCCTGTAAGGAAGAAGGATTAATATTAGGCTATTATTTTTTACTCAGTGTTCCCTAACGCATTTCATTATCACATTTAAATACTAACATACTTAGTTAGTCTCAGTATTTTTTAAAGTGTTCCTTATGCATGCATTTAGTTGAGAAAATTTAGAAACTTGTGAAAATCAGTTCTGAAATCTGTTTTAATTTGATCTGTTTGCTTTGATCTTCATTTAATGTCATCGCTTTGTATTGATTGATGTTACTAATTGTTTTAGTCCTTCTTGCCACTCTTAGCGAATCCTCCTTAGTTCTGCAAGTGCTTGAAGGCTCAGGTGAAGCTGTCAACCCTTAGATAACAGAAATGTTGCCTTGTTTTTCCCTTTGTTTAGTTTGAGTTTCCAAGGATATCTTGTTCAGTTGGAAAAATAAAATATCTGAAATGTTGACTGATTTGTTTTCTCTCCCTTTTTCCTCAGACATGTTTATTTTTCATCTCTTCTGCCACGTTTCATTTAGCAGCCAGAATTCTGAAGAGCACTTCTGTTCCTTAGCCTTCTTGTCATTTCACAGCAGGTTTTTCTTCTTCTGGTTAACATGATCACCCCAGTCTTCACTGGACTGAACGAATGTTACTGTTGTCTTGGCAGGATGTGGTACCGCGACAGGAGGAGCTGAAGATGAAGGTGAGGCTGAAGCTGGCTGGATTGAAGGTGCTGCCATCCTACTCTCTGTTATCTGTGTTGTCCTTGTCACTGCCTTCAATGACTGGAGCAAGGAGAAGCAGTTTCGTGGGCTTCAAAGTCGTATTGAGCAGGAACAGAAATTTACTGTTGTCCGAGGTGGACAGGTTATCCAGATCCCAGTGGCAGAGATAGTAGTTGGTGACATTGCACAGGTGAAATATGGTAAGTTTTATCAAGCTAGATGACTGCTTTTCTAAAATGTATCTATTCTTCTTTCCCTTTCTAGCAGGATAGACTCAATTAACTGGAAGTGATTTGAAAGAGAATTATGTGTTGTCATTGTTGCCCATGGTAAGACAGGGGAATAAGGAAAACCTAAGGTACTCGCTATAAAATTGCACTAGGTAATTAATTGTATTTTGTTAATTTTTACTTCCTTTTACTGGCAAGGACAACAACTGTTCATACAAATAATTCTCTTTCGTGGAGGTTTACACTGTTTGGAATTTTTTGGTTCTGTCCAGTTAGGAACAAGAGGAATGCTCTTAAATGCTGTGGGAAAGGAAATTGTGCCTCTGTGCTCACCCCAGCTGGTGGGCAGCTCCTCTGAGTCCCTTCTGACCAGGAGCTTCCAGGAGGTGGATGGCCAAGTGACACGCTCCGGGGCACCTTTGCAGGAGATGTGTGTGCTCTGAACTGGCAAATCCCAGCAAAATGCCCATTCTACCAACCACCAAGTCTGCCCTGGACATAACTAGGGGCTTCCTGAGAGGATTGTGATGCTCTTGTGGAGTGGGGACAGCGGGTGGCACCAGAGGACAGCGCGGGGCTGGGAGCTCAGCAGCCAGGGCTGCAGCCTCCCCTGAGGAGCCAGCCCACAAGGGCAGGGAATGACAGGACAAGGGGGAATGCTTTTAAGGCAAAAGAGGAGAGATTTAGATGAGATATTAGGAAGAAATTCTTTGGTGTGAGTGTGGTGAGCCACCGGCCCAGGTTGCCCAGGGAAGCTGTGGCTGCCCCATCCCTGGAAGGGTTCTGTGATTCTGTGGTGTGGACTAATAATGGTCATATTTATTTCACTTCAATTGTTGTTAATTATGGTTTTGTAACAAAAATCATCATGTAGTCATAAAAACAATCCTACTAAACCACTGTGGTTTTCCATTACCCTGTTCTTACTGAAAGGTGATCTTCTACCTGCCGATGGGATATTTATTCAAGGAAATGATCTTAAAATTGATGAAAGCTCTTTAACTGGAGAGTCTGACCAAGTCCGCAAATCTGTTGACAAGGACCCAATGCTACTGTCAGGTAAATCTCCTTCAATTCTTGCTGAGTTCTCTTTTATGCACTGCTTAGTTCATGTTTTGTTTTGCTTTTCCCCACACCATCGGGTTTGGGTAACCCGAGATACAACTGATCTTTAGAACACAGACACTGGCCTTGTGTTTGTCATACAAAAGACATTTTTGGATTGTGTGCAATTATTTCTGATCATCATAAAGTGAGAAAATAATGAAACATTTTCAGACGCAAAGGAAAGTATCACTTAGGCAAATAACAATTGTTTCTATTCATTGTATACTAGTTTTAATTCAACCATTAAATTTCAAAGCCTTTTAAAGTCTTTTCAAACACTTTATGTGTTTACTAGATATAATACAATAAGAAACAATGTGCTTAGAAGGAAATGCATATATTAAAATATTGTGGGCTTGAATTCTGTGGTAAATACATGGTATATTACTGGTAATATTTGTATTTTGTAATATAATTCTAAACAGTAAATCTGTTAAATTGTTATTTTTAAAATCCTAATAAAGACAGTTTTGTAATGGGTTTGGTTGTCAATAGGTTCCAGCTGAGATAGGGTTGCAAAATAACAGACTGCTGATCTCATAACCACCATCAGTGTGTTATAACCTGAAACAGTCATTTTCAAATACATTTGAACTTCTTATGTGTGGAAAGGATTCTCTTTGCTGTCTGGTTGTACAGTCAGCCAAGGGTGATCCCAAATAGAATATTCATGTGACAATAGAGCAGGTAAGTGCCCATTCCTGCAGAAATCCTGCCTCACTGGTGTTTCCCAAGTAACACCTGTTGGGAGATGCTTTTTGTTCACAAGAGACAAGTCGCGACAAGTAAGGATGCAACAATTTTTATTGAATTAACAGTGCAAATTCCTTTGAAATATAAATTCAGATCATTAATTCACTGACTGTGAGATAATAAGAGTTTGTTATGTAAATTATGGGATTGTGGTCTGGTTAAAAAAACCCAACACATCATTTTTCAGTCGGATGGTGGCTGCATTAACTTAAGAAGAAGGAATTGCTATTGCTGTTTTTGGACTTGTCATTGCCACAGACTTCATGTTACAAAAGCCCATGTTGATTTTAACTTCAGCAAGCTCCTAGCATCTTTCTGCCTAAACTGGGTATTAAAAATTTTTTTTAATGACAAAAAACATTTCTATTGCTTCTGAGCATAAAGCAGCAAAACAAATTTATTTTGCTTTTTCAGGGAAGAAAATAAATCTTCTCCTTTCTTAAAAAAAATACTCTATTTTTTAGTTGTTAAAAGGTTTTGCTGCAGTGTCCCCTGCCAAATATATACCTTTTGCTATTCATGTTGTAAGCCCTTAAGTTCTTCCATGTTACAAATGTCTGAAAAATAGGTTTGCAGGTGTTCAGTAGGAGCTTATAGAGACTGCTGGTGTAGTTGCAAATGCTGAAGGCTGCATTTGTGCAGAGCAAATGCACTGAAGAGCTCAGCATTTGCAGGCAGCACAGATACAAATGCTGGATAGTGGGGATAGAGCCACTGCTGAATTTTTGGTGCCCCTTTGGCTCCTTAATATGCCTTAAGGTAACTTAGGGAAGTCTTCTGACTTCATTACAGTAATTTATCCTATTAGTTCAGAAATTTAGGCTTCAGTTGATTGTACATTAAGAATTTTTTTTTGGTAATGCTTTCTCATGTGTAAACAGGAAGGCCTGCAGTGGTATTTTGAGGAAGGGTAGCTCACTGTTGTTGTTTCTAACAAAATATATAATCCCATATTGTCCTTGAAATATTTACACATTTTTTTCCAATTTTTTTTTCCTTAACTGGTAATTGGTCTGTTTTGTAAATATAACTTCATAACTGGCATAAAATTACTATTTTACAGAGTTTTAATAATTATGTTTTCTAATAGAAACTTCTATAATGAAAATTCATATATTTGTACCAATTAAAATATTCCTGTTGTTGAATTCCAGAGGTTTTTTGATTCAAAAACTGAAGGTGTTGCCCTGAAAGGGACGACAGGAAGAGAAAGGAAAAGCAGTCAGGTTAGGAGTAAAGACATTTTTGTCTTGCATCCCAAAACTCAAATTTCTTTGCTATAAGGAGAGAAAATTGTATTTATTGTTTTATTGCACAGTGAAGTAAAGTTTATACCCTACTTTCTTCCATAGATACAGTGCAAGGGTTAATCCCAGTGATGTGGGAGCTGATGTGCCCACTGGAAATTGTTAGCAGTCCAAAAACCAGAAGCTTGGAAACCACTGTGTCTTGCAGGGCAGGTTTGGCCTGGTTTAAAAACTGAGTTCCTGTTAGAAGATAGCCTAGACATGTTTTTATAAAACTTGTTTAAAGAAGAAAAAACAACACCCAAATAACTCCCCTCAAAACCAGTGAATAGACCTTAGTTTTTCCCCTTATCTTTGCACCTGAAGACAACAGTAAATTATTTTCAGGTAGGCTTTTGGAATTTAGACAGATACTGTGAGGATGTTGCTTGCCACTGTTCCCCCTTAAATCATCTCTTGGAAATGAAGACAGTCCAGGTTTGACAAAGGAATAGCTGAAAAAAGGTAACGTTTGTATTGCAGCCACAGTTTGCATTGTGAGTCTAAACTTGGTGAAAAATAAACACCCTGAATCAGGAAGTATTACTTTCACCATTGGCACCTGAAACAACGTTTTTAATATTCCATCAGTTTCAATGACATAATTAAACGAAATGAGTTTCTGTGCTAAATGTCCTGTTTAATCATCCAGATAGTAATTTACTGTACTTGAGAAGCAATTCTAAGAGTACAAGTGCTGACTAAACCAGATGGTTCATTTTCATCTGTGTGTAGCACATTTGGTACCACCTAGGAAGGCAGAAATGGAAATACAGACTCTGATATACCTGACACCAAAAGAAGCAATTTCTTCCCTTTACTTCCACTGTACTTCTGTCTAAAACATTTTCTTTCTTTTAGTTCATTAACAGGGATTTGCACATAGAGTGTAGGATAAGCCATTACATCAGGAGTCATCAGCTTAAAATAGACTGTGAGGTTAAATTTCCTTGCAATGCACATGGGTGTGTCAAGCAGCAGATGAAGACAGCCTGGGGATTCACACTGCCAGCTGTTCAGCTGTAGTGACTGAAGCTGATGTGCCCTTGAAGTTTTCTTAATTCAAAGTTTGGAGAAATCCCTGATTCCTAAATTCAGAAGTTTTGAATATTGAGTCTGGTCTCAGTGTTGCCCACAGTGAAGTATTTTGGAGTACTATGTGAGCATTGTGAAAAACACCTTATGATGCTTACTGTTTGAAACTTCTTTTCTAGGTATTTGGTTCAAATTGGTTAAGGTCTGAAAGGCTTAGGTAGAGGAGCTTGCCTAGTGTCATTCTCACTGAACTGAGACTGACAGAACTTTACTTTTATCCTAACCTAACTTTTACAAATGTGTAGTTCTGTCAGTGTGCAACAAGGATTTGAAACAAAGAAAACAGAATTTACTCAAGAACAAATAAAAGAAGTCTCTTGGTCATGGTGCTTTGTTAGGTTTTGAAAATAAAAAGGAAGCTTGATTAAGGAATCGGGTCAGTTACTGCCTGGAGAAAAATAGTTCTGTCTTAATTCCCTGCCAGAAAATATTCCAAGCTGGGCCTCTAGCACAGCAGACATTTTCAGAGCAGCTAACTTCAGATGTTCCAAATTACTGAGATATGTTGAAATTACTTGTAGATGAGTTCTTTTCTGGGGAAAACTTTCTTCACAGAGGATATTCTGATGGTCGGTTCACTTTATTATTAACCTCAGTTACCTCTTACTAATGGCAGTGACTAAAACAGTTGGTTAGATACACAGAGAATTTTTGTTCTCTGCACGTTTGTTGGAAGTAGCAAAACAGAATAAAACCCCCCAACTGGCATTCTCTGGTTTCTTTTCTTGTTTTCCAGCCCTGTTTTCAATCTATTTCCTCTCTGCTTACCCAGTACTAGGATTAGATTTGAAGGTTCCTGAGCAATATCATGTTTAGTTGCATTTTTGTCTGAAAAAGTATGTTCTGTAATAGATCTGTCTGATCTGTTTCTTTCCTCACTAAACCACACTTCTTGCTTTTCTATCTTGGAACATTCACCATTTATCAACTTTGAATTAAATACTCAGTGTATGAAAAAAAATGTGCTTTACTAATATTGAAAAATTAGTCTCCAGAGGGAAAGAAGTCTGTCAGATTGTTCAACATGAAGTTGAAATACATGCTTAGTGTACCAGATTAAATGAAAAACGTGCCTTTATTCCAGAATTCCTTTTCTGTAACAACAGCCAGCTGAAGTCATAGAGCTAATAGGATTATAATGCCATTTAAATTGCCAGAATCAGGTGGAAGGAGATTCAGCTTTTTACTTTAGCTTAGATGCTGAAGAATTTTTCTAATTCAGTAGTGGAACACAATCTGAAGATAAATTGGTACCTGCTCCAAAACATGTCTGTATATGCACCTTAGCAGTATTGAATTGTATTTTGCAAGACTAATGTTAAGAAAAGGCTCAAAAAGGCATCTCAAGTTCAGTCATTTTTTGCCCTTTCCAGGTTTGCAGTGCTAAGCTGGGAATCTGGTGGGTACATGTTTGCTTAATGAAGCTGGCTTTGAAACATTGGTACATGCCAGTTTTGGGAGGATATTTCTACCCAACTTTGTAGCCTAAGAAAAATGGTTCCTGCAAAACAAACCATGGGATTACTAAAAAAAAAATAAAATTCTTAATTAAAATGTAATTGGAATGCTGTTGCATCTTAGAGGAGGTTCCTCTAAATTTCTGAGTTGTTTCAGACATTTTCTGTTTTGTCTGAGCCCAGTATAGCTGAGGCTGCTCTGTTTTTTTAAAAATATTTGCTGTTCTTTTGTGCTTTAATGTAACTTGCTTTTTCTTTGGGTGGCTTTCCTGATTTGTATATTTGTGGTGTTTTGCTTTGTCACATGAAAGAAAGCAAATTACTTTTTAAGGAACCATATTTTATCTCAGAAAGCCATAGGAGCAGTGCTCAATGCACTTTTAAAAAAATACATTGGACCACTACTGCTTTTTTTCTTTTTATGTGACTTATTTCTGCTGAAAATTTCTTAAGTGTTCTGATGAGATATTTATGCTTTCAAATTAGGCTTAGTGTTGACAGATGTTCTCTCTGTTCTGTGTTTCTATTTTCCTTTTAAGAACATGAGAGATTTTTATTATAAATAGATAGTTGCATTGCCTTGTGTGTTCTAGGACAGCAACTGGGTGAGCAGTAATAAGAAAATGGGACTTGTAAAAAAAATGGGTTTCAAGTGTGTGTGTGTATATATAATGTTGATTTCTATAAGGACAGGTCCATAAATCCTTCCTTTTTTCAGCTTTTGGGAGACTCAATGAAATTCATATATGTAGATGAGGATGAACCCAATAAAATTATTTTTAAAAAGGAAGGGTAAAACAAATCATTCCATGGCCACTCAGGTTTACTAGATTTGAATGCCCAATAAGGTTCTCCATGAGATACTATATTCTCCATTTGCTCAATGCAACAGGCTCACAATTCAGTTGGTTAAAATCCATTTTGCAGAAAGCTTGTTTGAAGATTAATTTTCTTTTTTACTGTGGCTCCTGGTGTACCATGCTGTGGTGCATTTCAGAACTTTGGGCATCAGGGAATTACTTCACTTGAGTTAAAAAATATGAAAAGGTGGTAGTTAATAATGGTAGTGGGTAAGTGACAGTAGAAAGATAGTTGAGTATAAGCGTGTCAGAATTTTTACCTCATTTGCCACAGGATAAGACAACTCAATGACTCTTCATTTTGCAACAGCATCAGTTAGGCAAGAGTGGTGTTGTCTCAAGGAGGGTAAATGGAGAATGTTACATTTATGGCAGCCTTGCTAATTGTAAAGCAGTACAATGTAACTTCTGGATTGAAGTGAGGATCTAAGCAAGAGTAGAGTAAAAACCCAGCAAAGAAGAGTAGTTTGTCACAAATATGGCAGTGAGAAGGCAAAGAGTAAAGTGGGTATTATAAGCAGTATAATTGGTTTATTACCACAATCTTCAAACTGTTTAGTTAACTTGAAGATGCTTAAACCAACAAATAGCTGCTTTCTCTCTTCATGCCCCCCAAACAGAAAATGTAATTACTGTGCTGTGCTCTGTTTCCATCTGGTTCTTCTGATGTCCCACAGCTGCAAGTCTAGAGCAACGACTGGTCTTAGAAATCTAGCAACTAGGATTAGAAGGAATTGGTAAATAGTAGAATACTTCTGCAGCAGGTTCTAGTTAATTGTGTGTCCATCCATAGTTCACTTACAGGTATAAATACACATTTATCTTTTTGTATACAAAGATTTTTTTCTCAAGGGTAAAAGTGAGTTTGTGTGTTACAGTCTGTCTTCACAGTTTCCAAACTACTTCCTCCCTCAAATACAGGGAAGAACGTTTGAAAAAGCCCAAGCCCAGTAAACTTTCAATCCTGGTTTGCTCTGTCAGCTTTGTGTTCAGAAGTTACAACTTTTCCCCTGTGTTCACACAGGGACTTACATTTAATGAAGCAATTTCTATACAATAAAACATGAAATATTTATCAAAAGGAATTTATTTACTGGGATACCATTACCTTGTTAAATAAATGATCTTTTCCAGAACCTAATGTGCATTTGTATTTGTTTTAGAGTAATAGAAATCTTTCATATGGAACATGTTTTAAGTGTACATCTTCAAGTGTACGAAGAGCAAGACTCTTCTTGCTGTAGGGAATCTCTGATTTAATTAAGCATCTCCTTTTTTCTCTGTATTGATTTCTCAAGTTTGGAGATGTGAAATTATCTTTAAAAGGTTATTTTCTGTGCCTGTAAATCAACTGTAACTGAGAAAGATGAGAGAAATTGCACACCTTTTCACTTGGTTTATGTAATAATATTCTATTTACAGTGTCATCTTGACCAGAGTCACAGAGGAATGTTTGCAGAACTCTGAAAAAATATTTTCAGTTACAAGAATTAACTGTGTGATGCTAAACCGTATTATCCCTTAAGATTCTTTAAACTTGGCTAGTGCCAACATTGCTAGTAAAAAGGGAATCTGATTTGTGTGGCTGCTGATGGTGCAGCCTCAGATTTGCAGTTATGCATCCATTCCTGATTGAGGATGATATACAACAATCGGGAATTTTTTGGCATGTCATTATATTGGCCTCTATAGATTTTTAAAGTGTAAGGAATCTCTCTCAGTACTATAGTAAAAGTCTTGCATGAAATATTTAATGGTTGTACTTTTCATTTTTTTAAACTCTATGTGACCTATATGGCATATTTGCAGGTACTCATGTCATGGAAGGCTCTGGACGGATGCTTGTAACTGCTGTGGGAGTGAATTCACAGACAGGCATCATCTTTACTCTGCTAGGAGCTGGAGGAGAAGAAGAAGAAAAGAAAGATAAGAAAGGTAAATTTCACAGTACATAAGGATGCTCTGAAGAAACCTCTTGGACTTTGTGTAGCCAGAGCTCTCCTCAATTCTTGAGAAATAAATTTTAAAGCTTCCTTTTTCGTATGCATTTTTGTCATCACGTCACACAGAAAAACAGCAAGAGCTGTTAGCCAATAAATGCATTGGATAACAAGATGTTTTTCCAGTGTGAAATTGCAGATTCTCAGTACATAATTAAAAGGAAGAGAATACACGGGCACACTCCCATTGCTGTGTCTTCTTTACATAAATCCATAATCACCTAAAATTTGCCAAGGTTTTGCTCTTGTGCATTTACATGCATTTATTTTTTTTCAGAAAAAAAAGCACTTGACCATGGAAACAGCATCTGTCTTTGGGCTTCAAAAATAAAATGAAGTTAAAATGTGGCTTTTTGCTAGCCTAGTTTAATGTCACTTATTGACTATAGAGCCATTTTAATTTCTTAAGGAGTAAAGGTCAAACTAAGAATAGTAAAAGTGAAGGAAGCAGCAGTAAATATTAATAGAGAGTTTAACTTTGATGTCCTGTATCAGTTAATGAAATCAAGAAATATCTTCAGACTTTTCACCTTATTATAGTGTGATGTCATAGGCAATTGCTAATTTATGGGTTGCACACTAAGCAGAAACATGATTAAATGTGTGTCCTTTCCAGTTTTTGTTCATACAGTCTTGTAAATTGTTCAAATCTACTTTCACAATTTCATTCCAAGGTTGTTCTAGAATATTTGGCTTTCAGACATAATTAGGGGGCAGTTAATACATGTTTTTTTAGACATTTCCACTGCTCTTTGTTTGTTTGGTTTGTTTTTTTACTATTATAAAAACAGGTTTGTTAAAGCTTTAATGAACATTTTGCTTAGTATCTCCCAGGCAGTGTTATTCCAACTTTTTTCACTTCCATCCTTTTAATTTGAAGCTGCAGATAGGAAGACCAAATTAAAATGGTTTTCATGACCTAGAATTTCCATTTCTGAACATGCCCAAGTGCTTGCACTTATCTCCATGTGTCTCTGAGGAAATCCCTTTTTGCTTGAAAGACTTTATGAAACGTTTGCCATTGCATTTCTACACAAAAATACTTGCCAAGCCTGGTAAGTTCTGGGAGAAAGGCCGAAAGTTCTCCAAGTTAAACTCTTTCATGTCAGACTAGTTTTGAGCTAGCTTAGAGTCTAATCTTGCTGCCATTAAGGGAGAGACTTCTAGACACAGACCTTTTGACAGCTGGCAGCAGATGTTTTGGCAGTGGCTAAGGGTATTGTAGGTGAGAAGGAGCAAATTCAGTACCAGTTTGGAGATGAGAGCTTGTCTGCTTGGGGGTCTTGATTTAACTGGGTTGGCTTCTCCATGTGTTATTTTGCTTGGGACACTGGTGGTTCTCTCATGTCTCACTGTGGAACTGAAAGACAGGGAAAG